ACTTGGCCTGGTTGAACTTCATGAGGTTGGCTTTTATAGGTGTTCCATAAAATAAGAGGTGACTGATTTTTCTAAATCTATCTTTCAGGTCTAAAACATGCCTTCCCTACTTGAGGAAGGGTAAGAACCCCCATATCCTGAACCTCAGCCCACCTATGAATCTGAATCCCATGTGGTTCAAAAATCATTGTGGTAAGTAGCGTTCTGTGCCTTTGTTGTTACTTTTTGAGAACAACGTAAATACGTGGTGAAATGTGCAGGAGTGCCAGCCCCGAATGCTAGATCTTGTATCTTTAGCACTATATACAGACTGGCATTAACGGTTCCCCGGGGTGTTTTGTACCTAACCTAAATGTAATTGTTTTGTGGGAGAACATGGTGCAGGTTTCAGGGCCTGATACATCTTTTATGCTTTCAAGAATGTTTTCAAGGTAAGAATCTGTGCTTTTTCACGAGTAAGACTACAAAATATTTTCTGTTCCAAATAGAAATTGACGCCCAAAATCTATTTTCTTACCGATTCAACTTCACACTTGATTTAGAGAGTTCAGTGCTGAATTTTAAAATGGAAATTAATTTTGAGGTGAGAAAAGGACCCCATTTTGTCTTGAGGTTAATGTAGCTCATTTTGAAACTGCAAAAAACCTTTCAATTTTGGACGCTTGTCATGTTAAACTCTTCTAGCAAGTCCCAGTTCTTACCCCTCGAAAGTTTCCATTTTCGAAATAGATAGATGACAACAATTTGTGGATGTCTCTCCCACGTAACAAGCGATAGGACAAGAGGAAATGGCCTCAAGTTGCACCAGAGGAGGTTTAGAATGGATATTTAGGTTCAATGTTTAGATAGGATAGATTGGATATTTAGACTGAGAAGTCATGGCAGTCAGTCTCATCTCTGTGTCTGGCAAGAGCATGGAGCAGATCCTCCTCCTGGAAACTAGGCTAAGGCACATGGAATATAAGGATGTGATTGGTGACAGCCAACATGGCCTCACTAAGGACAAATCCTGCCTGACTAATTTGGTGGCCTTCTAAGAAGGAATTACAGTGTTGATGGATTGGACTTGTGCAAAGCATTTGACGCTGTCCAGCGAAACGTCCATGTCTCCAAATTGGAAAGACATGGATTTGATGGATGTACCACTTGGTGGATAAGGAATTGGCTGGATGGTCGCACTCAAGGAGTTGCGGTCAACGGTTCAATGTCCAAGTGGACGCCAGTGATGAGTGGTGTTCCTCAGGGGTTGATATTGGGACCAGTGCTGTTTAACATCTTTGACAGTGACATGGACAGTGGGATCGAGTGCACCCTCAGCAAGTTTGCAGATGACACCAAGCTGTGTGGTGCTTCCGACATGCTTGAGGGAAGGGATGCCATCCAGAGGGACCTTGACAGGCTGGAGAGGTGGGCCTGTGAGAACCTCATGAAGTTCAACAAGGCCAAGTGCAAGGCCTTACAAATAGGTCAGAGCAATCCCAAGCACAAGTACAGGCTGGGCAGAAAATGGATTGAGAGCAGCCCTGAGGAGAAGGACTTGGGGGTGTTGGTTAATGAGAAGTTCAACATGAGCCGGCAATGTGCGCTGGCAGCCCAGAAAGCAAATCGTATCCTGGGCTGCATCAAAAGGAGCATGGCCAGCAGGTCGAGGGAGGGGATTCTGCCCCTCTGCCCTGCTCTTGTGAGACCCCGCCTGGAGTACTGTGTTCAGCTCTGAGGCCCCCAGGTGAAGAAGGACATGGACCTGTTGGAGCGGGTCCAGAGGAGGGCTATGAAGATGATCTGAGGGCTGGAGCACCTCTCTGAAGACAGACTGAGAGAGTTGGGGTTGTTCAGCCTGGAGAAGAGCAGGCTCCAGGCACACCTTCTAGCAGCCCTCCAGTACCTAAAGGGGGCCTACAGAAAAACTGTGAGAGACCCTTGATTAGGGAGTGTAGTGATAGGATGAGGGGTAACAGATTTAAACTTAAGGAGGGTAGATTTAGATTAGATATTAGGAAGAAGTTCTTCAGTCTGAGAGTGGTGAGGCACTGGAACAGGTTGCCTAAAGAAGCTGTGGCTGCCCCATCCCCGAAAGTGTTCAAGGCCAGGCTGGATGAGGCTTTGAGCAACCTCATCTAGTGGAAGGTGTCCCTGCCCATGGCAGGCGGGTTGGAACTACATATCTTTAAGCTCCCTTCCAATCCAAACCGTTCTATGATATTAGGAAGAATTTCTTAACTGAAAGGGCTGTCAAGTGTTGGAACAGGCTGCCCAGGGAAGTGATTCGGATATACATCTTCGAATACTTCGGAATACCCTGGAAGTATTCAAAAGATGTGTGTAGATGTGGTGCTTAGGAGCATCATTTAGTGGTGGACTTGGCAGTGTTGGGTTAACAGTTGGACTCAGTGATCTTAAGGATATTTTCCTACCTAAATGAGTCTATGGTTTGAATTTCAACACCGCCCCTTTTGTTTTCTATAGAATACTAGTTGTACTAGCTTAACTAGTATGCCTTAGACCTCTTGAAAAAATTGAGCACTCTTGTCAGTGCGCTGTGCGTAAAAAACACAACAAAACCACCACACAGGTAGGCTTCAGTCATTTTTGTCAAAACGTGCGTAGCTCTCATTTTATTTGTAGTGAAAAGATGGCAGACTACAGTTCATATCTACTACGAGTGGTGGGAAGGAGAGAGAGATTTTGACTCTAGGAAGGTACTGTTTTGTCCTCAAAAACTTAATTTTCCGTATGAACAAATAATTTAGTTTTTGTTTCCTTCCTAATTAAAGTTCTGTTGATATAGTGTAAATTTTTATCCTTTTTATACTTCTTGTCTTAGCTTATACCATTTCTAAATATGGGATGTCCATGTGTGTCTTGGGAATGGCAGAAGAATTTAGAGGAGAAGTTGCTGTCAATGCTTTATGGCCTAAAACAGGTGATTTTTTTTTTTTTTCAATGGTAAAATAATGGCTTTCTGTATTTTGTCCTGTCCTGTACAGCTTGTTTTATTTGACTCTGATTATACTCTATAATTCTTCTGCAATTGATTCAGGAGATGGAGCAGTTCTTTTGCATCTTCTTTGTTCATCCTGCATGAGTGCTGGTTTTCGCTCCTAGTTCTCACTATACCATTCCCACTTTGATCCAAACTCATCTTCAGCTAGTTTGCAACCCATTCAACCTTTTCAGTTGGCCGAAGCATCTATGTAGTATTTGGCTTGTCTGTGCTCTTTCTCATGCACCTAGAGTTTTGTTTTGGACAGCATCACGAAAATACTAGCATGCTTTCGTTTGTAGATATTAAACATCTCTCTATGTAGTACTGCTTAGAATTCCCTGCTAGTTAAATTGCCAGGGCATAGATGGAACAGACAAGATATATACCTCTGTCAATGCAGAAATAATTTTAAAAAGCCCAGTTCCTAGAAGTTTTGGTGCAGTGGGCCAGCAAACGGTTGTTCACAGAACCATCTGAGTGCAAGTCACAGGAAATTAAAGAGCTCTGTGGAAGAAAAACAACGCGATGCTCCCACACTGTATTCACAACTTTTGTTGTCTATGAGTCAGTGAGGAACAGGGCTGCTGTTGAAGGATTAGTCAGCTATTAGCCAAAAAAGCCTGTGTCTTCACCCCAAATGTATCTATGTGCAGAGATGATACTGATGTTAAAATCAGTAAAGACAGAGGGTGATCCTGGGTGTGAGCCCAGTCTTTGTGTTATGAAACATTACAGTAGCAGGGTTTATTCCCTTAACTAGTGGAGGAAGGGAAGGAGGAGGAGCAAATAAAAATAGGAACCAAGATCCTCTTCTGGGGCTCATGCTCCAGTGTAAGAAGCATTTGTACTTGGATCCTTTTCAGTGTTTTCCTGTTAGGAGTTGCAGGACCCTTTTAACTTCTAGTGTGGAAGTTCTCTGATCTGCTTCTTCCCAAGTGAGGAATATGAGCAAAACGTAATTATTTCAGACAAAATCAGCTGAGCTTCTTTGCTTAAATACTCTAGGTGATACTCAGTTGAACACTTGGTTTAGTGTGTCTAACAGACCTGGTCCTTTTTCATTAGTCTTTTTCATTAGTCTGGATAATTGCATCCTAAATTCTCCCAGTAAATGGATGCTTTATAATTCTGCTCACACTATGAGCTTTACCCATAGAAATATTTTGGTAAGAGATCAACTTTCTAAATGATAGTTATATCATTCATGATAATTATATCATCACAAAACCTGTACTGTCTATTTTGAAGAGGATAAGCTCTTCATCTTTGATGTACCGAAGGCAACTGCATGTATAACTTCAGGATCTGAATTGCCTTCCTGGCAGTGGAGTGAAAACTCACTTTTCAGGTTTTGGGTCTCTGTTATATTTTTTTGTTTCTGAAAGAGTTAGAAGAAACATGCATTTGTTTCCACATGCTTGCTTCTTGAGTGCGCCAAGGAAACCTCAGAAAAGTTTCAGTAGGGATTTCCCAGGATCTACTGTTGTCGTCTGGAATAGAGCCATGAAACTTGATTCTTAAAGCCTTTAGCTCACTAGACCTTACGCCCATCTCAACTGATTTGTCCCTAAAATGCCACTGCTAAATGAGTTTTATATCTCCTCAGAATCCCATACGTAGAAGTAATTTGCTTTTCCATTAGCAGGGGTGATGTTTTATCCACCATTTTGTGTTTCTTGGTCACTGACTGATTAAGCAATGTAAATTGTATATGAGAGTTAGCGACAGTGACGGAATTAATCCATTCGGATGGAGAGACATGGTATCAAGCTGCAGATAACATTACTAATTTGATTTTTTTTTCTCACACAAAAGGCATTAAAAGATTATCTGTATCTTGTAAATGTGCATATTTACACACTGCATAGGCACATTACGCGCACCCTCCACAGCTTTCTGATTCTTCAGCACCTTCTCTCTGTGATTCTGGATACGCTGGAGAAAACATCCACTACTATTGTGGAAATGAGTCGGTGGTTTTATAGTGCCCAACATACTGTAGAAAGCTAAAGAATTCTTCCTGCGGAGACCAGCTGATTATACTAGGCCTTCATTTTGCAGTGTAGGTGTTTTCCCTCACCCATTGGAATATTTCGGCCTTCTGTTTTTCATGTCAAGGGAAAACAGAACCTAGGAGAATTTGTCCACCCGCTAGTGATGAGAAATTTTTCAGAGAGACAGCTAACTTTATAGGCAGAAGTTACATTAAGTCTTATGTTGAATTATAATAAACGCATTATTTCTTTGCAGTGTTTGCATATGCTGTAGCATTCCAAATGTCAGTAATAGTACCAGCATCCCAGATACTGTCTGGTATTAAAGGATGTCTATGATTGTACTAATTAAACTTTTACAAAATCTGACGTTCTTATTGAGGGTGAAAGCCAAACCAAAGAAAGTAGTATCTTTCTCTTGTGCATTAGAGTGCCACTGTGTCCTTGGTAACGTATCTGTCACCTACTAAAATAAATAAGAGGATAACGCTATAGAAGATAGCGCTTGTTATAGAGTGAAGCTAATACCTGTTCCCCTCAGGAACCTGCAGAACGTGAGGCTTGGAAGTGCAGAAAGATTCAGGTTACAAATGACAGCAGTATATTCTACTAAAATGCCTTTTTTTTTTTTAAATAAAGATTTCTCACTGTGAGATGCTGCAAAGTAATGTAAAAAGTAATTAAGCTTTCTATGAAGTCAAAGGTATACAGACAGAGCTTTGTAATTGCCGAATCCATTCTTGCTCATTCGGTTTAAGACTGTTAGAAATGTTGGATGAGCTCTCAAAGTTTGTGTAAATCAGTGATGCCTCCATGCAAACTGATGCCCTCAGGTATAAAAGAGGATAATAATGTGCAAATTCTCAAAAATGTACAAAAAAGGTTCTTTCAAAAGATTTATCTTCCCAAAATGAGAAAGTTAACTACTTCCACGTGGTCACCAGAGAGAGAGTTACAGACTTCCATGGTATCTAAAATACAGTTGCAAAGTTCTTAATTAAAAAATCCACTACAGTCTCATACAAATGTGATTACCCTCAGGGCTAGTATTGATGCCAGTATCTGTTGATTAGTCTGGCTTTGTAAACACACAAAAGTATGCTGGTAATAAGGTGCCAGGAGCTCTCCATTTGTCTAAAATTGAAAGAGGAAGCCTACCAAAAGTGCAATCCCATCACTAAGACTGCATTTGAATAATAGAGGTATCCTGGGACAGTACTGGAAGACTCTTCGTGTACCTTAGAGGAAAACCAGCAGCACTTTGTAGGAAGTAGGTGGAACAATATGAAACCAGGCTATTAGGCAGTACCTGTTTAAAACCTTTATGCTTCAGTGTGTGCACATAGGCTTACAGCACTCAGAATTCTGAGTCATAGTTGACACCAACAGAGAAGTGGCAGAAATGTAGACCAGGAAAAGCTAACAGGTTAATGAGTCCTCAGAAGAGAGGAATATATTCAGGTCAACAGAACCTGGTAGCTTTCATCAGAGTATTTGACAGAAGTATTCTTTGAACTGTTGGTAGTTATTTAAAAAAAATTAAAAATGTTGCAGGACAGAGCACATTTCAGAGGACCAAAGAAACGCAAATTTATTTCCTGTCCTTAAAAGTGAGAAAAAGACCTAGAGAGAGCTAGGTATATGTACAGTATATCTATTCACCACCTTTTATTTACGTGCATATTCATAGCAGTTCAGTTGATTTGAAAGAAAGAAGCCAAGGTTGATCAAAGGTAAACGAAACCTGGGGGCTGATCCTCACCACAGAAGAGTAAAATAAGGGATTCAACAAGGCCACCCACCAACTCCTGCACTTTCCTAGGAAACATTTTAACAGGATCTCCCAGCCCAGCATTGAAGACTGCTCTCCTTTTTCCCAGTTCCTACTCTGGAAGGTGCATGATCTAGCTCAGATAGATGTGTCCTCCACAGTGCCTCTTCTTGGGTATTTAAGGGATGTTGGGATCGTTTCTGCATCAAAGCTGCTGTCACTTCACGTGGTATGGAAACACAGAAAGGAGGACATATGATTTAATATCAGGTTTACTCTTCCACCTCCAGGATCTGCCAGCCCCAGGTGTAACAGAGGGTTTGCAAATCTGTCCCAAAACTTAGGGGCAAAGTGTTGAGTCTTAAACAGCAGATGGGAAAAAGTCATGAAGCAGAACTGTATGAGAGGAAAACAGTAACATGGCAAATACCAGAAAGCTGCAACCAAACAGCTTCTCTGTGAAACAGGATGAAGGAAATGGATACCTCAGCCTGGAAGAGCAAATTGCAGAACTATACTGGAACATGCCACAATGTTAGTAGCTCCCTTGGGGGAGGCATAAAGATAGCTAATGGCATGATGCAGGAGTTAGTAGAATTGGTTAATAGAATAACCAGAAGCTTAGGAGATCTGGATTTTATTCTTGGGTCTAACACAGCCTTTTTGTGGAATATTGAACAAGTTATTTGAGTTTTTGCTGTTTGGTTTCTCCTTATCTTAGGAGAGACACTTTGGTATCTCATGGGAGTTACTACAAGGCTAAAATTAAGCATCAAGATTTTCAGTGAGATAATCACCAAAGGAAATACCTCTTGATGACTGATGTATCACACTTTGAAAAAAATAGTTGTCCTGTTATTTTTTCATGTCCTAAGTAACCTGGAGGAAATCCAAGAGGGATAAATAGATAGAAGGATGCAAATGTCCTAAAAAGTCCTGCCTATTATTCCACCTTTTGGTTCCTTTAATAGTTTTCTGGGTTTTGCTGGTGCTTGTAGAGAATTATGTGTTGGTTGTTAGTATTTCATAGCTTTGTCTTCCTACAGTTTCCTTTTGCATGAAAGGAGAACAAAGTTTGTGTGCTTGCTAGAAAAATAGGAATTTCATGTTGTCGGTATTAAAGCTTGGTTTTCTTACCGTGCAAACTTTCTAGCCATACATACAGCTGCTATGGATATGCTGGGAGGAGCTGGAATAGAAAAACAGTGCAGGAAAACGGACATCCTTGCAGATGCTGCGTATTGTATTTTAACAAAACCAAAAAGTTTCACTGGAAACTTCATTATTGATGAAGTTCTGCTGAGAGAAGAAGGAGTTAAGGATTTTGACGTCTATGCAATTGCACCAGGTAAGGCAGATGTTTAAGATGAGAAGTAAGTTCAGGAAGGAGGGAAGGCTGTATGGAGAATATTAATATAGTTTTGTTTCTAGGGGCTCTTAAATTAGTCTGTAAAAAGTTGCTTTGCCTCAGCTTTCAGAACATGCCTTCCTGGAAAGCACATACGAGTCTACTGAGTTTCTAATCATCAAGGGTCTATTAAATTTAAAAAAATACTTTAATGAAAAGAAAATGTACCTGCACTGTAGATGTATATATTACTATCTACTAGCTAGTGAGATAATTTTTTTTTTCTTCAAATGTTTTTCATTGAAACTTTTGGAGGCTTCTAGGTCAGATTTTAGAAGACCCAGACTCTAAACATGTTACTTCATGCTATGTCTTTCCTTCAAATTGTAGTTTATTTACTTACAAACTTGGCTGTAGTTTCATATGAAATTGACTCCTGTTTGTGCTGTCCAACTTTACCTGGACTTACTATTGTATTTTTCCTTCCTTCTAGGTCACCCCCTGGTGCCTGACTTCTTCTTGGATGCTGAAACTGACA